CTCCCTCCCAACCTCACATCTTTGTAAATGAGGAAGCCGCAAAATAGCATCCACAGCAGTACGGCAAAACTCGTCATTGCCACGCACGCGGGCATGTTGGGGGTGAGGTTCATGCAGCCCATTCCCAGGTACGTGAAACACAACAGGTTGAGCCAAATGAACAACCTGTACGACAAGAGCGGGAAGAGGGGGGAAGGGAGGAGGGGGAGGAGGGGGGGGGCGGGGGGGAAAGGGGTTTTAGTTTGTGATTGAGGGTGTCGGTGTTTGCGGAGTGACAGCTGAGCCATTCATTCAGATTAAAACAGAAGAAGAAGAAGAAGAAGAAGAAGTAGAAGTAGAAGAAGGACAGGGCAGAAAGCAGGGCCATGGGCCCACCAGGGGTCCGATTAAATGTTGTGCTCACCAGAACCAGAGGGCCTTGGACGAGTCGAACTCGAATTGAGTGGTGCAGTACACGATGATAACGTACACCACCGACTGTACGAACAAGTACGGAAACTCCGCCAGGCCTTGCGCCGCTGCGAATACGACACTGCTATACATTCCGGACGCTCGTTCCCGGTAGAACACGGCACGTTCAGACATCGTCACTGGCATGATCTGCGGGTGTGGGTTTTTGACGGGGGTTGCGTGTTAAGAGTTACGGGGTAAATTAGAAAGTACGACAATGTGGTGGCATCTCCCCTAGCGAGCATCCTGATAAAGGGGGGGGAGCATCACCTAAATCGCAAAAAACACGTAACGAAGTGTGTCGATATGAGTGTGTGTATGTGTGTGTGAGAGAGTGTGTGAGTCTAAAATTGCGTATGTGTTGCATTTTGTATCAGGCGGGAGGGCGTACTGCCCGCGGCCTGGATCACCGAAATTTGTGCATTTACTGGATCTCCGTACGGGAGCTTTCAAAATCATGTGCCGCTGTAAGATGTGATGTGTGTCGTACGGTGTCGTACCGTGAGGCAGTTCGTCATCGCCAGGAAGAGAGCTGTGGAGAAGAGCGCACCCATAATGTCCAGCACACCCAGAAGGGAAGACCTGTACGGCAACAAGGAATGTACGGCAACAAGGAATGTACGGCAAAGAAAGGCGCCGCAGAGCTGGTCGGTTGCCCTCATCCCAAACACACACATCCGCACCCAACACCACAAAAACACATAAACCCCCACCCTAATAAAAAATATCCCTCACCTCTCTCCCGCCCCGAAACCCAAACCCAAAACCCACACGCACGCACCTCTTAGTGCCCCTGTCCCAGTACAACGTTCCCAGCGCCAGCCCCAACAACACCGTAACTGCCAGGCGCAGCAAATTGTACGACGGATTACGCCAGTAGCTAACCAGGTAGCGCTGGACGAGCAAGTACAACTGTACGACAGCGGGCTGGGAGTAACGACGCGCTGGAATGGCGGCGGCGGCAGCGGCGGCGGCATCGTCGGTTGCGATGGCAGTAGTCGTGGTGGTGGCGGAAGTGGCTGTAGCGGCGGCAGGTCCTGCTACTGCTGCTGTCCGGTAATGCTGTAGTCGGGAGGCGGCGACGCTGCGCAAGAGCCGTGTATGTGTATGTATGTATGTATATAGGAGGAGAAGAAGGGAACAAAGGTCCTTATTAGTGCCTTATCTCGCTCGGTAAAGCAGGGTCCCCCCCCCCCCCTGAATTGACCGACAGCCAAACAGACAGACAGACAGACAGACAGATAGACACATAACAGTGCCAGACAGCTATATACCGCAGGCACAGATGAAACCCAGTACAATATACGACATGTCGTAATATACGACATGATACTCACGCGGCCAAATCACTCCGCTCCCAAATATCGCCAAAGTCCACCCCCATGCGCTCCTCGGCTGCGGGGGAGGTCACCTCCAGCATGTAGTTGGCGGGGTTGAGCACCGGCTGGTAGCTGCACGTGTGTATGTATGTGTGTGTATGTGTGTATGTATGTATGTATGTATGTATGTATGTGTGTATGTGTGTGTTGGGGGGGAGTGAGAGTGGGGGAAAGGGGGTGAGAAAGGGGTGAGAGAGAGAGTGTGTGTCCTCGGCGCAGGGGTATTAAAAACAAGTTTGGGGTTTTACGGGCCGCCCTCGCCGTGTCGTACACGGGTCGAAACAACGGCGGCATTGACAATTCCCATTGTGCGGTGTTTCTTAACGTCAAGGGGCATTGGGGGGTTACAGACACGATAGCCAGCCCTTACACCACATGCGTGTGTGTATGTGTGCCGTACCTGGGCACCCCGGGTATTGACTCCAGGTAGGCAATGAGCTCACTTTGGTTGGGCCGACCCACGGGTCCGTTGAAAATGACCCGGCCACCTGGCTTCAGAAGTAATAACCTGAGCGGGGGGGAGGAGGGGTGGGTGCAGATGGGGAAAGGGGGAAACAAGACGCACACACATACACACATACATCCATACCCACATACATACATTCATACATATGGTTTGGCTCTCTCTCTCTCCACACGATGTACATGTAAGGCATGTCCTGTGCCCAACCCCAAACACCCACCCGCCCCTCGTCCCGCCCACCGACTGATAAGTGCACTTGCACGTGTGTGTATGTACGTCTGTCTGTATGTCACGTCGCTCTGAAACTCCGGCCGCTAGAAATCCACCACCTCTTCCCCTCACACTAACACACACACACACAAATACACACAGGCACGCGCACAAAAGCTGTGCATAAATCCAGTACGTCAAGCCGGATGGAGATGTCGTACACACACATGCACACGTACGACATACACATAATACGCGTGTACAACCGATCACTTCACTCACTCGTCAAAATAGTCCATGATCTCCCGGTTAGGCTATAGCGAGGTCCGGTACGACATGTAAGGGGGTGGGTGTACGGCATAGGTTTGAGTCCCCCCGGGGCCAAATCATTGGGAGGTCATAGGTTTGTGTATTTTAGGGTTTATGTCGTACCGGTACAAGGTGCGGTCGCGGGCTCGGGTTCCACAGATATCGATGTACGGGGACGTACGGGACAACGTCACGTCAGATAAAAAGAAAGGAAGGCCCCCATCCCCGAAGAGGTAAAGGAAGTACCTGATGAAAAGTAAAGGTGTCAGTTAAAAAAATATGAAACCTTCACCTAAAATTCTTAAGTCCCAGCCCTCAGAATTCTCGTTGGGCTTTAACCGAAGATTCGGTTGCAATCGAGATTCGTGGTCAGTTGGTTCGTTGAAAAGTGTATATCTTATACATGTGCTTAACATTTTGCCAAAGCCCTATTAACACTCATACATGTTATGAGTATTGATGTAAAGTGTTAGTAGAAGTGTTAGTAGAAATCAAGTGAGTATAGAAACTTTTGTAGCCCGGTGTAATAACAACAACAGAAACCCACTCACCTGGTGAATGGTGCACACCACTGTACGACCAGTCGCTACCGTATTCCGTACGGCACGCATGACCATGCCGGCAGCGCGTGCGTCTAGCCCCGTGGTGGGTTCGTCCTGGCGTGGGGTTTGATGTGTGTGTGTGGGGGGGGGGAATTGGGCGGGGCGAGGGGGGGTAGGGAAAACGTGTGTGTGTATGTACGGCGGTACACGGCCCTGCTCGACTGCAGCCGTGTAGAGGGCTAGTCAGGGTTTCTGGGGAGGGGTTTGTGGGGATAGGTTGCGCGGGTTTTAGGGGGGAATGAGGATCGGAAACCGGGTGGGAAGTTACACGTGTCAAGCGGTGGTAGTGGTTGTAGGATTGGCGGGAGTACGGCACGACAATCCTACCTACTTTTTTTATTTTTTATTTACACAAAATAAATTAAATGTTCCGAGGAAAAGGGGTCTAGAACTACTTTGATGACCTGCAGGCAGTCCCCTCAAGAAATCTCGAGGGAAGGACAGGGTACGACGAAGGGAACGACGGTAACCGAAACAACCGAAAAACGAATATAATCAACTAGATAAAAAAATATCTCATGCGGTCAAGCCGAGTTCAAATCTCACCAGGAACATGATTGATGGATTCGCCACCAGCTCGCAGGCAATGGTCAATCGCTTCCGGGCCTCCGTGGACAGGCCGCCGCCCACCGCCCCGCCGGCGCCTACCGCGTGCCTGGCCAGGGGCCCCAACTCCACCACCTCCATCACCTCCGCCACGTGCGCACGAATGGCAGTACGGCTCCCCCCCGAAGAGGTGTACGACAATACCCCAGGAGGGACACGAAGACGTGCGGAGAACAGGAGGGCCTCTTCTACCGTGGCCTGCAGCAGACGTGTGTGTATGCGTGAACGTATGCGGAGGGAAGGGGGGGGGGGAGTTGTGGTTGACATCGCCTTAGGGGGTGTTGACGAACTAAGAAATCACGGAAGCAGAGGATTTGGTGTGGTAAGTCCGTATGTCTGTCTGTGGGATTTTAGGGTGTCGGAAGGTATTATAAGAAACCTACGGCTCCGTACACGTGTTTCCGTACATGTACGATTATATTGCTGCACTCACTTCCCTCCCCCTCCTCGCCTTCTCGTCCCCTACACCCCCCGTTCTCCACACCTCATTCAGTGAACCGCCAGCCACCTGGCCCGCCTCTACCTCTACCTCTACCTCTACCTCTACTCGCAAAAACACATACTAGTCCAACATCCATAACCCGATACGCACACGCACATACATACGCACACACACATACACACCTCCAATCTCCCACACCCAACACACAACCCTCCCCCCAAAACCCCAAATCAATATTGATGTACACGGCGGCACCTGCGGGTTGTGCGCATCGAACTGCTCCACGTAGCCCATCACTCGCGCGAATGCGGCCATGCGTTTGGGAGCCCCGTTCACCAGCTGCTCCCCCTCCTGCCGGCCCCCCGTTTTGCGACCCGCCAAAACGTCCATTAAGGTGGTCTTGCCGGCACCGGACGCGCCCATCAGACTGGTAGTTGACGGTTGGTGGTTGGAAGGTTGGGGTTCGCGGTTGCGCATGTTGGTTGGTGGTTAGTGGATGATGCAGGATTAAGGGGTTCAGGAACACATGTCACACTTTTTGGATGCACACATACATACATACGTACATACATACATATATGCAATACATACATACATACATACATCCTGTTACACCCCCCGCCCCCTCCCTCACCTGGTGAGAACCCCCGGTAAGAAGACACCACCGACGTCCCGCAGCAGTTGCAGCTCGCCTGAAGTCACACGTGCGCATGCGTGCGTGTGTATGTATGCATGTATGTGTATACGTGTATATGTCTATGTTTTGGAGAGAGAAAGTAAAAGAGTTGTTGAGGGTTGAAAGGGGGTATCTAAATCGGGTTTGGAAGGGGGGGCCCCAGCAGGGGATCTCAGGGCAACTGGAAGGGTATCGAGGCATGACTTGTACGAACCAGCATTTGTACGGCATGCATCATCACTGCCGTACGACACCATGACCGTGTCGTACAGGTCAGAGAAAGGCAGCGGAAGACCTCCCACTCCAGACTTGACTCCGTACACGTATTTCCGTACACACGTCTCCCACCCCCAACCCCCAAAACCCCAGCCTCGTCCACCCGCGTCCAATACACACCCATTCAGATTTCCCCCTCCCCCTCCCCCTCACCCTTGCCCTTCGGTTCCGGGACAAAGTAGTTGATTCCCTTGAAGGTCATTACAACTGGCGAGAACGACAAGTTCGACCCATGGGTCGTGCGGTGTACCTCCAGAGCCTCCAGGTCCTTGGTGTGGCCGTTACCATTACCGTTACCGTTTGCACCACAACCGTCGCTGTTGTTAGCCGTTTCGCCGTTAGCATCCCCACCGTTGGACTCAGCGGGGGAAGACCGCTGGGGGCCGTATGTCGATTTCACGCAGATTCGAATGTGTATGGGTTCGTTCTTCTGGTTGTTGTTTCCGTTGGTAACGTTGTTGTCGTTTCCGTTGCGGCCGTTAACAGCTGCTACCTGTCGAGTTGTGTTGGCGGCAGGTATGCAGAAGGTCTGAGTGGTGCGTTTGTGTCCGGTGTAATCACGTATGTATGTGTGTATGTGTGTACGTGTGTATGTGTGTGTGTATATGTGGGGGATAAATAACCAGCGAGCGAAGGGAAGGGGGAAAAGGGGAGGGACACTTCGAGCCGGGGAAAGGGGGACATACACAGACGCGTCGAGGTGAAGACATGCCTTCACCGCTTTTCCTGATCTCTTTCTGCCACATTGCAACTGCGGGCCCCTCGTCCAACCAAATTAACGAACCGACCTGGCCCGCCGCCAACTCCAATTCCTGTTGGTCGTTGTACGGAGACTGGTAGTTATCGTTGTCGTCCTGCCGCCGCAGCTTGGCCTCCTCCTCCTCCTCCTCCTCGTCCAGGGGAGGTCGGTAGGTGGAGGGCGCTGCATACACATACACACACACGCACGCACGTGTACGACACGCCTATTTTGTACGAAGAGAAACCAGAAGCGGGGGCACACGACAGGACTATCGGTATGATGATCATGGCAATGTGTGGCAAGCTTGTTCCAACACTTCCCAATCCCTAAAACCCTAAACCCCAAAAGGCAGAAAACCTTCCCCCTCCCCTCCCCTTCCGTCCCCCCAACCACCTCACCACTTGCAACATTAAGCGCCACAACCTGCAGCACCAGCAGCACCAGTGACAAGCCCATGACGGTGCCGATACCCGCCCATACCCAGCGCCATTCCGTGTAAAACCCCCGTGCCAGCAGGGAATACTGCAAAAAGGGGGAGAAGGGGGAGAAGAGGGAGAAGGGGGGGGGAGGGGAAGAGGAAGTGTCAAGAGGGGGAATGGCGCGGGGTGAAATGTGTGAGTGACTTCCCCCTCTTCCCCCCTTCTCTCTCAAACATACACACACATACACACATACACACACATACACACATACACACACATACACACACATACACACACATACACACACATACACACACATACACACACATACACACACATACACACATACACACACATACACACACATACACACACATACACACATACACACATACACACATACACACACATACACACATACACACATACACACATACACACATACACACACACCTGGCCAATGGTGATGTCAGGGCGGCCAAAGTCCACGGCGGGTGTGCCCCAGGGAGCCGCCGTGAGCTCGTTGATGACCATGGACCTCAGCGCCCAGGCCATGGGGTTGCACCAGTAAAACCAGATCCACCAGGGGGGTATGGAGCCTGTCCAGGGAGGGTACGAGGGGGGGGAAGGGCGGGGAAAAAGTGCCGTGTGTGTGTGTCGGGGGGGGGAGTGGGGGATGCGGAGGAAAGCCCTCCGGGGGGGTTTGGGTTTAGTCAAGGGAGGGAGGGAGGGAGGACATCCCGATGGGATTCCTCAGGATCTCGTCACAACTTCATACCCGATTAACCACTGCCACTCAACCCAATATCCCGCCCGTCTGGGCCATTGGGGGGTTTTAGTTTCCCCCTCCCCTCCTCCCTTCCCTCA